CGTGGCCCACGTCAATCCTGCGCGTTCGGCACCAGCCCGTCGGGTCGCCCAACTCGTACTCTACTCACCTCTTACTTCGCTCGTGTGCCGACCCTTCCTGATCGCGCAACCCCGAGCTTCCAACAACGGGTTAAGAGAGATGACTTATCGCGCAGCCGAAATTTATGGCGTGCATGCATGCGCGAAGAACATGGAATTACCAGGACTTAGAGTGGGGATTAGAGAGGGAGCACTTGCGTTCTGCATGGTTGGGCCGCGGCGTGGGGAACTCAGCCCTTCTCCACGCATCGATCCGAGCATGCAAGTCGTGGCTTACAAAAACTTCAGCAACAGAAACAGAAGGAGGGCGGGAAAGACAAGATGCAAGAAGGAAAATACAGTTACAATGGCGCCCGCCCCAAAATTACAGTTACACACACGATTAAGGGCGCCTGCTAATCAGAATACCGTTGCAACCGCAAAAGGAAGCGCGTGGAAGAAGGCGCCGCGCAGCAAGAAAAAGAAAAATCCTAACTACTAAATTCCTAATTCTTACCTAATGCGAAGAAGCAAAAAGCACAAGGTTTAGAAGGAAAGTCCGAAATTCCGAGAGCCATCGGGAACTCGACAAAATTCAAAAGGAAATTCAAAAGAACGAAGCGAATTTCCCACGCGATGCCCGCGCCCAAAAGATCGAAACCGAAAAGAAAAAACGACGTCAACATTTATTAATCGCGCGCGCGCGCGGCGGCGAGCCAGACATCCATCCGACCAATCAATCAACCGGCCGTCCCAAGACACACCCAGCTCCGTGCCTAGCCATTCGAAAAAGAAGCGACAAAAAGGACGAAAAAGCGAGCCTCAGGACACTGATGCAATTCTCCACCGATCCCGATCTCCCATAATTGGCCCAATCTTCCCAGCTTAGGACCCCTTGTTGCAACCGCGCAGAAAATCGCGCGTTACAGAAAGTGGTTCGTCATATATGTGACGCCCAGGGGATTCCAATATTAGCAAGCTCCTGCTTGCTTGTTGACACGTGTCGATTTCTGTAATCGATCGACACGCGGAGCACTTCTGTCTATGCCACTTACCGTTCAACTGCGTGTGGACGTCATCCACGTGGCAACATTGCTCTTCTACCAGTTCCTCAGATTGGGTTCTCGACGATCTAAGGACGGGATCCTTCTCGTGTCGTCGCCGCGACACTCGTCCATTACCGCTGCATCAGTAATTAACCGGAAGGGGGAAAGGAAGGCGGTACACGTATGAGGGAGGGCGAGGCGGCTCCATCGTAAGCTCAGGTATGAAGCGCCCGATCGCAGTGAGGTCGTAGGGAAGCTCTTGAAAGCGGACGATGCGATGGAAGCAAGGGAATCGCTGGCCGCTGCGGGGAAGGGAAACGAGGTAGTCTGGGTAAAGGGAAACGAGGGTTCGGAGGACGTCGGTGCGGAACCGATCATGGTTTTCGCACGCGGGAAAGGTCCCCGTAACGATGTCGTAAACCTCTATGTGGTTACGGCCTCGCCACGCGGCGCTAAGGAGTAGAACGTGGAGGGGGTAATCAGGGACGGCGCACCGAACGGAAGGGTGGGGGTGGACAATCAGCTCTAGGCGGGCGGAGTAGAAATGTCGGAAGGTGGCGATGGGGAAGGGATTACGGGGGAAGACGACGCGATGGAAATACTGATTGAAAGAGAGATGGCTAAGGGGACGGTGGTATATGGATCGGGGACGAAGGGCGAAGCCCCTCATCGATACGTTGACGAATTGGGGGACGGGCGGAGGCGGACGGGGACGGGGATCGGGATCGGGATCGGCGCCTTGTCGTCGAGGCGCTCGAGGTATGGCAGCAAGGTCCCCATGTTCCAGCTTGGGCGGCTCGGGATCCTTGGAAGGATCGTTCGATGTGGGGTCGATCGCCGGCCGCTTTCCCTCCGCGACCTCTTTCTTGCGCTGCGTGGCAGCCTCAGGGTTCTCCTCTCGTCAATCTGGTCCTGGCACCCACTCGAGCTCGTCAACGTGCGTTGGCTCCTGGTCGTCTCCGCTTTCCACTTCTTCGTCGTCCTCTTCGTCCTCCTCCTCACTTTGCTCGGCCTCGCTGTGCTCACTATAGGCTTCCTCCTCTTCTTCCGAAGTCTCCTCCTCTGCGTCTTCTTCTTCTTCTTCTTCTTCTTCAGCTTCCGCCGACTCTTCTTCGGCTTCGCGTTCTTCTTCCTCGTCCTCGGCCAACCGGGCCGCTGCTTCCCCGGCCTCTCTCCTTAATTCTCCTTCTGAATCCTCTTCTGCTTCCTTTTTTGCTCTCAGCGCCGCCCACTCCAACGCCGTTGGTTGCTGAAAGAACCGGGGATTAGTTAGGATGTGGACGTCGATATACTCGCTGCGAGAGGGAAAACGGTCGTCCGCCCAGCGCTCCTCGATACAAGCCGACCACTGGAGGCTCGGGGCGAGAGTCCTTGAGAGGGTATGTGGCACGGGCTCTTCGTCGCTCTGAGAGACGATGTCAAGGGGGAGTTCGTCGGCCAGTCGCGCGATCACGATCGTAAGTTCGCGCACGATCTGTGATCGGTTTCCCCGATCCACTGCTCCAAAGACGAATCCTAGAAGGTCTCCCGCCACGTTGGTCCTCCACGCCTGGATGATGAGCAGCTCCACGGTCTCTGACGCGGGCCTCCGATCGTCCTCCCACGTCCAGTTCAGATCCACTCGTAGCAGGCAGAACGAGAGTTCAATGAACTCTGCACGCCACAGCCTCCAACGATCCGGATCAATGATGGGTACTGTCAGCGGCTCCAGGCGGAAGGAGAGACGAGGGTAGTGAGAGGACTGCCAGAAGATGGGGAAGAGAGAGGGAGGAGAAAACGTCGAGATTGGCGCACGACTCATCTGCGTGGCTGGAAGGGAGCAACAGGTGGCTCGCGCAGCGTTGTGCGCAGTGTGTTGACCTCGATGCCGTCAACAGGATAGCACTCGTCACCATGCCTTGTGAGCCGTCGATCCCAATCAGTGGCCAGATCACGACCCCACTGGTACAAGGTGCTTTTGATGGCGGCTTGTCGCGCCGGATCGAAGGCGGTGATGTTGTCGTGGAAGACCACGGTAGACACGTGGCTAATTCCTGGGGCCGCTCGCCGTTGGAACGCCGTTGCCTCGGCCAGCACCACCACCTGGGGATTGCTCGTGAACCGAAACTCTGTCGCGCCGTACACACCCGCAGTGCAAAAAAACTGCGCAAGGCGCATGAAGTCGGGGCTGATCCACGGATGATGCACTTGGCGGATGGCTCAGCTGAGATCTATACCCGTGGCATCAGCAACTGATTACTGAAAGCTCGCTCGATGGCGAAGCTCATGGCGATGGCGGGGGTGACGGGGTGGCAGAGAGGGAGCACGAAGGAGAGGAAATGGCGGAGAGTCAGAGTCGTCGTCTTCGTCTTCCTCAGAAAGAGAGACCGAGGGAGAAGGAGACGGAGCAGAGGGGAGGAGGCGAAGATAGGACACGTGGCGGGTGATCGGACGAGCCGATCGACTGCCAGAGACCTCGGGGCCGAGACGCATGGTGTCCACGCCGTTAAGGCCGAGTTCGATCACGCGGTATCGCCCGAAGAATCGTGGCGCTAGCTTACCCTGGTGAGCACATTTCCTTACCTGCACCACGTCCCCCAATTTGTACTGGGGCCGCGGACCCGCATTCCCATTTCGGGCCTCGTAGCTCCGGAACTGTCGGCCTTGGGCTAGTTCGATCATTTTTTGTCGTTTTCGGGCTAGCCTGGGCAGCGACCGTTCCATTAACTCTAGGTGCCGTTTGGCCTTGTCACGAGCCGTGGCCCTGGTGGGTCGTCGGTTCAATGTAGACTCATCCGGGAGGCTTGGTATCGAAACACAAGCGATGCTATTGGTCCTTAATTGGAAGGGGCTTAGCCCCGTCGATTCGTGGGGCATTCCGCGATGGACCGCCAGGATGTGATCGACGATATCGGGCCAGGGCCTCGGATCCCGTGCCGCGATGTTTCATCTCAATGCTGTCTTTATCATCCGGTTAGCGTTTTCGACCAGCCCATTGGATTGTGACATGTGGGGTGCAGTGTTCCATATGGCGACGCCATGTATGACCAGATTCCTTAACACTTCCCCTCTGAATTCAGCCCCGTTGTTGGTCAGGATCTCTTCCGTATCCTGATGCATCCCGAGGAAACGGTTGACATATCGCGCGATTTCCGTGGCTTGCCGCGTGCGACAAGGATACGCTTCGATCCATTTCGAGAAATGGTCGACAAATACCAATAGGACTGAATATTCGCAGCTATTAGGGCTAGGGGGCACCACTATGTCGGTAGTGTCCATGCTCATTCTTTGAAATGGTCGTTCAACAACCATGGGCACTATCGATCTTGGTGGCTGAATCGGCGCTTTATCAGCGGCGCAGACTTGACAGTTGGCGACAATGTATTTCACATCGTCGAGGATATTGGACCACTACCACTCATTTTTGTCGATACCGGATTCCGTGATTCGTACGGCAAAATGGGCCACAGTTTGCTCGTGGACTGTCTTAACCCAGTCATACCGCATGAACGGATGCGGTACCACTATCCAAATCCCACTGCCGTCCGTTTTCCGTTTTTCTAATCTACCTTCTATCCATCGATAATCCCGAGCCCTTTCGTTTGCCCTCCTCCGACCTTCCTTGGTGAAATCCTGGAGGGGGTTACCTACTAGGGTGATAATTAAGGCAATATCCGTCCATACTTCGGCCCTTCTAAACTTCCGGGTCTTTTCCAACCCTTTTGACGTGGCATCCAAAAAGCGAGCCTCGGTCGGAATCTTGTCGGTCCGGCACAAGGGGCACAACTATGGTTTACTATCGTTTCTGTATTGGATGCACGAGCCATGGGCTCATGCGACACACTGTCGACAATCTATCCAATCCGCATACCCTTCCCCGTTAGGACGCATAGAGACCTCGTATACGCGGGAGATGTCTTCGCAAAAATAGCAAAATTTGTCAGGCAGGGAGAGGAGAGACGAAGAGGAAGGGGGAGAGAGAGGGGTAGTGGGGTTACCTCCATCACCCATCGCCACCGTTTTACTTCTTGCCACGTGGAAGAACCACCACTTGTCCGTATTTCGGCTTGTTGGTCAAATCCGGCTTTTTCCACGGTATAATTTCCTCGCCCTTTGGTACCCTGGCAAGTCGATGCAGACGTGTCAGCTCGTCCGCGTTGCCGTGTCGCTCTGTCTTTCGATGGACGATATCGAAGTCGTATTCTTGCAGTCGCACCGCCCAACGGCCAATCATGCCCGTGTAGTTGGTGAGTTTCTTCGGCGCCAGCAAGGGTTCGTGATCTGTCACGAGGCGAAACTTTTGTCGATTCACCAGACTACTGCGTAGCATTCGCCTTGAGGTGCCGAGTCGTTCCTTCGTTCGTCCGGTACGGTGCGTGACACATATTCGATGACGTGTTCACGACCATCGTTCCCCTTCTGCGCTAGAATAGCGGAAATAACTTCCGGTTGCAAGTCCGTGATGAGAATGAACTGCTTCGAGGGGTCCGACCGTATCAAAATAGGGGCCGTCGCCAGAGCGTCCTTGAGGGTTGCAAAAGCCTGTTGACACTCCGCGTCCCAACTGAGAGGCTGGTCCTTCCTTAACAGATTCGTTAGTGGTCGCGCAATCGCGGCAAAACCCTTGATGAAGCGCCGGTAGTACGACGCCAATCCCAAGAAGGCTCGAACCTGCGTCAGTGACGTGGGAACCGGGGCTTCTTTCACCGCCGCAACTTTTCTCGAGTCCGGCCGCAATCCTCCACGTGTCATGACGTAGCCCAACAACAGAAAAATTGTGGGCATTTTTTTTTGCGGTTTATCAAATGTGGGCACCCCTTTTAAACTGTTGGTTTCGTGTTAATAAACACTTTGGCGGGGGTAGTGTCATGTGTTCCACCAAAAGTGAAGTAACTCAACGTTGATAACATATGTCATAAACATGCGACACTGTGTTCAACACTTGTTCAGTTGTTGAAAAGTTGTTGAAAAATTGTTGAAAAGTTGTTGACAAGTTGTTGAAATATTGTTGATCAACTATTGAACATTTCAGATATTGTTGGGAATATTTGAAATTTGAGAGAGAGAGAGAGAGAGAGAGAGAGAGAGAGAGAGAGAGAGAGAGAGAGAGTCATCTTCCCTCCCAAACTGATGATGTCAGAGAACTGGCCCTGTTGCTATTTATCACCTTCATCTTACCCTGTGTAACTCCCGTGAACCTTGAATCCAGCGCCATAGGCAAATGCCCGATTGATGTGAACGAAATGTCCGATGGTTGGCTACCGGGTGCCAATTTCCAGCATCATGCCCATGCATGACAAGAACATGGCACGCAGTAGTCAACCAGTCATGTACTTCTCACCCAATATTAAAATGAACATGTTTTCTAGTGTCTGCCCAATACTGCTTTGTGACATTATATTCAACATATTTGGAAGTGTGTAATCCGTTTTCTGCTCATTTTTATCAAACATGATTCATGTTTTTGCAAAACCATACGTTGACATATTTTGGCCCACATTACACATAACGCATTGCGTATCCTTGCAAGACAAGCAACAATGTGTACAATAAATTGATAGTGAGTAATGTGAGATGCGAAACGCAAATGCTACGTGATGGTCGAAATACATCCACGATAGGTCATGTACAAAACCATTTATTAAATAACACATGTTTGCTTATTGTACACTCAACCCAAAGGGTTCTCCATAGTCTTTTTTTTCCAAATAATAACACTCTCTCTCTCTCTCTCTCTCTCTCTCTCTCTCTCTCTCTCTCTCTCTCTCTCTCTCTCTCTCTCTC